TTTTTTCCATATATAGTTTTATAGTTTGTTTTCAATTTGCACCTTGCTTGCTATTTGAAAATAGCTTTTTGTCTCCTGGCTCTTATGTCTTTTTGTTGCACTTTTAAAATATCAAACTTACATTAACATTGTAGTGGAATAAACATGTTTTGCGGGTCATACTGCTGTGTGGGAGTTGTTGATTTGAACCTTGCACTCTTTATCATTGCCTTTAATTTGTGGTGAATCATGAATTTCTCAAACTTTCTTAGCTGTTGATTTGTTGCAACTGTACAACTGTAATGGAAAAGTGTGAAATGTTAATGTAAAATCTGTTTGTGTGTTTGTGTAAACGTGTGTGTGTGTGTGTGTGTGTTATCCTGCAGGCTGAGTGAAGAGCAGATTGCCACAGTGTGTGAAGCTGTTCTGCAAGCCCTAGCCTATCTCCATTCGCAGGGAGTCATCCACAGAGATATCAAGAGTGACTCTATACTACTCACATTAGATGGAAGGGTATGATATGTTGTTATTTTTTCTTTCTTTCATTCTATCTTTCTTTCTCTATCTTGATAGTAACGTCTTTCTTTTGTTCCGCACAGGTCAAGCTTTCAGACTTTGGCTTCTGTGCTCAGATCAGCAAGGACATCCCTAAAAGGAAGTCTCTAGTGGGGACACCCTATTGGATGGCTCCTGAGGTCATCTCCAAATCACCATATGGCACTGAGGTGAGGAGCAGCACATTCAAATCCACTCATGCTGAGCAACAGTGGTGATCAGTCACATGTAGGGTAAATGCCAATAGTGGCAATCTGTGCCATAAAATCTGTTACATAATTTCACTGTGTGATGATGCGCCAGGTGGATGTTTGGTCTCTGGGTATCATGGTGGTGGAGATGGTGGACGGAGAGCCACCATATTTCAGTGAAACGCCCTGTAGCAGCAATGAAGAGACTGAGGGATGAGCTGGCTCCAACTGTACGAAATGTCAGCCAGGTAGGAGAACAGACGGACATACTTGCATACGCTCACATTTTATTATTTCCTTAAAGATGCTATGTGTAGATTTATTTTCCATGCTAGCAGCGTGGCTCTAGAGATATAATAATATAATAATAAGTACTGCATCAATTTGACTTGAAGTTAAAATACATGTACCTCTGGTTCAGATCTCCCCAGTTCTAAAAGACTTCTTGGACCGTATGCTGACTCGGGACCCTCTAGAGCGGGCCAGCGCCACTGACCTGCTAGAGCACCCCTTCCTGCTGCAGAGCGGCTCACCTCAGTGCCTGGTCCCACTGGTGGAGCAGTACCGCAAGCGCATGTCCCGTTGCTGACCCCGTGGGGCTCCCGCTCCCCATCACCCACCTTCAGTCTGACCTGTCCAGGCCTCGGACGTGGACCAGCACCGGGGTCCAACTCCTCTAGCACCCAAGCCAACGGGCGATCAGCTCCAGAGTAGCAGACCCAGAGAGCATGTTGCTGCCAGAGTGATTGTGGCAGGACGGCAAGTTTGGATGACAGACACCGCATGGTCTCGGGCATGAGAGAAGCACTTTAGGAGTGAGTTAAAGGCAGCATGCAGTTCCTCACCTCTCAGCTCGGTTCGATCCAAATATTGATTGGCTTCCTGTAACATTCAGTGGGATTCAACACAACACAACATGGTGCATTTCAACTGATAGCAAAAATCAATATTCCATGTAACTATATGTAATGAACACATGTTACTCTAAAGATCCTTTATAGTGTTCATAGTGGGCATTATTGCTAGCCGTGTAAAGCTTATAAAGCTGGTGTTAGGCTCAAACCACAGTAGCTCATTGTGACATTATTAAGGAAGGATAATGTTACCTCTGCACACTCACACTCCCTGTTGTGGAAACTGGACAACAACCCGGTCAGCACACTCCACAGCCGCAAACACTGACAGTAGACTCTTTGCATGGCCAAATGGAGGCACACCTGGCCTGATGTGAATGCTTGAATATGAACCAAACTGGGATGTGAAAGACAATTCTCCTTTATTAGCATAATAAATGGGTAGATGAAAGCCCAGCTGCTACTATTGGGCTATTGGAAAATCACCATTACCATATTCCTCTTTTTCATATTTATTCTTTATTTCCAAAAAGTGTTGTGGGTTGTTTGTATGATGTGAAGTTGCAAATATGGTTTCATTATTACGTATGGACTTGAAACATAAGCAGATAAATTAATAATGTAAATAAAAATACTGAATATTAGGTCCTTATCCCTGCTGATCTACTGCAGTAAATTATATGAGATGACTTCAAAATTCTACTTTTCTTTACTGAAATGTGAGTGTATAGTTGTATGTACGTGTGCATGTGTGTGCGAGCACATGGGCACATGGGTGTGTGTGAGGTGAAATCTCAGTGTTTGCTTCTGATACAACCCTCTTTGTATTGTGACAAACTTTTTAAAAACCACAAGATGTGTGTGTTGCTCCTCAACAAGATGTGTATGACTGTATTTGCATTTGTTTGCCTAGATAAAGCACACAGGCCTGGCATGTGATGCTGCAGGACGTCCACCTGCTGAGAAACACTTTGCACATAGTCTTTGTATTCTGACACGGATACATGTTTCATGTATTTCTATCTCTGTGTGGATCATCCATGAAAAAGAGAATTACACATTTTAATTTTGTATAAATCAATAAATGATGCATATTGAAGCGGAATTAATTTGATCCTGCATTTTCCTCATTCACACACACATATGCACGCATGAATACAGGTTGAAGAGCTGGTGTTTTAAAGTATTTATTAGGTATTCAGCATGAATCATACAGTGCACAGTAATTGAATATCTTTAAGCAAAATACATACAATATTTCTTATTAACACAGAAGCAATATCAAATACATTAAAGTCCATACAATATAAATCCTAAATATGTAAAACAAAAATAATTATTTTCAGTAGCTCACAGATGGATATTTAGTTATTTCAAATATAGAATAGCAAAATTGTATGCAACTGGACAATAAGCCTGAAAACCTATTGAAAAAACTGCAACATGAGCAAAAGATTACTATTTTTTTCAATAAATAGAATATATCACAAAGCATTATCAGAATTTTAAGTGCTGTAAAAATTTCCCCACTAGCCATTTCTGTCGCTTGACATTGTCCTTATTCTAATTGAGGACGGACTGAGACGAGCAGCTTTCAAACTCACACTTCACTCCACTGATGCTGTCAACGCTCGGCTGGCTGTTGACCTGCTGATGTGTGTGAGAGAGAGGGAAGGTTTCGGAGCGGGACATCCGCCCTCTGCCGTTTGATGAGCCCGATGAACAGTCTATCACCATCCTCATGAACTCTGGTGCGGTGAATCGACGCAGCAGTCTGGTCCCCAGACCCATGAACCCAGGCGTGCGGCTGGGGAGCTTCCCCGCCTCTATTTCCTCCCTGGCAAACAGCAGTTTGTTGTGTCTACTGGTCAGGCCAAAGCTTCCCCTCTTCTGCTGCTCTCTTCTGCTTGATGAAGCTATGTCATTAGACTCTTCTTTTTGTGTTTTGACGTTCTCCTCGAGCGCTCTCACAGGCTGACTCTTGCCGTTTAAAAGAGGTTTTGGCACTGAGACAGTTTTGTCAGCATCGTTTGTCAGGCCCCGGGTGTTCCCTTGACATTCCATCTTGTCTATCAGGCATCTCTCATCCTGTAGCGAGGCTCTCTTTAATTTGCTGGCTGACAAGCTCATGTCACGCACATCACCCTGATAGGACTGCTTTCTGCTGTTCAGGAGGTCCAGGTTAAATGACTTTGCTTTTCCCCAGAGAGGAAAACTTACTGGTGTTTGCTCTTGAAGTCCACTGTCTCGGCTGACATCTTTCTGGCTTGGCCCAGGCAGAGAGTTCAGTGTTTTAGCCCCCCTTAACTCCCGAAGTTGGCAGTTTTGGAGTTGTTTGGCAGTGAAGAGAACGCTGTGATCCCCCTCAATCTGGCTTTTCTCTATCTGAGGAGGCAGACCCCAGCTGTGGCGATGGTTGTCCTCTTGAGACTGGCTCCTGGGACACCTGAAGCGGTTCCACAGCCCACTGCTGTCTCCAATCTTCAGCTGTCTCTGAAATACCCCAGGCAGTTGGTCTTCATTGCTTTTCAGATGGTTGGAAAACCTCTCCAAAACATGCCCGGGGAGCCTGTTGGGCAGCCGGCACTGTCCTTCACCACTGGTACCCGAATCAGCTAGTGAATCATCTGTACTGACACCCCTCCTGCAAGGAAAGTTCAGAATCTGCACACACTGATTGTGTCCAAAGAAGTTGGCCACTTCGATGGCGGAGTGACCAGCATTATTGGTTCTGTCCAGCCTCAATCCCAGTCTTTTGAAAGCCCGCACCAGGAACTCCAGAACCTGGCTGTGCCCAGAAAAGGCAGCATACATCAGAGCGCTGTTACCCCAGGCGTCAGAGATGTCTGGGTCAGCATTGAACTGCACCAGAAGCTTGACCACATCCAGGTGACCCATCTCACAGGCAAGGCTAAGGGCCGTGCGACCGTCCTCATCCTGGCAGTTGACGTCAGCCCCTTTCTCCAGCAGCAAACGGGTGAACTTGGACCTGGTCCCGGGGTCTTGTAGGCAGACAGCATACATTAGTGGAGTGCGGCTGTTTTCTGTCTTGGAGTTGATGATGCGTCCGTCTAAGGCATCCAAGATGAAACGTGCCAGGTGAACTTTACCACCATGCATGGCATCTAGGAACGTCTTGGTGCCAGAGCCCTGGCGTAAATCTTTAGGTCGCATCATTCTTGAACAGCTACTTATGGAGCTGAGCCTTCAAGTGAGCCGAGAAAGAAGGTGACAAATAGGGAGAGAAAGTGTGTTGCAAGTTCTCCGAGGCTCTCCGTGTTGACAGTGAGTGCATTTACCTCAGAGTAAGACTCAGAGAGGAGCTGCCAGTGTTTTTATACCTCCCTCTCCACATGCCCTCCCCACGTTGCCTTGGAAACAAACGTCTGAGGACCATTATGCAGTGGCAGTATCCATTCAGCTCAAGCACTCTCTGCCTGGAGAGAAATATATGCTATTTGAACAGAATAATTACTCAAGGAGAAAAACATGGCCACTGTTTTTCATGCGAGGTCTGTGAGGTTAACTTAGATGCTCCATTTTCACTTTTCTTTGACGCAAATTAACTTTATTAACACATTCTTGCTGCTGATAGAATAGTCAAATATAGAAAAAGACAGTCCAGCATTTTGTGAAATCTATGAATAGTGCATTATATTGAGTCCCATTTATATTCTAGGCTATACTGTTATCAGGACTCTTACCAAAGGTTTGAGGGAAGATTGAAATTAGGCTTTAAGAGCTAACTTCAAAGGGAGGTAGGGCAAATGAACAGAAACAAATAGATTTTTTTCTTCTCTTGCTGCACCCATCCAACCAACATGTGGTTTTGCTTGCAGTTTGCTTCATCCACAAATCATAATACAGTGCAACAAATTGACATTTTGCTACTCTATAGCGCATTCTCAAGGTTTCATAATAATGACTTTGCCTGAAGGTCTTTTTTTTTCTTTTTGCTATGGAAAAAATACACCAATGACCTCCACAAGAAAAAAAGGCAGTAATAGTCTCATTTTATTACCTTATTGAATTGAAAATAAAAAATAAATAAAGCCCCTTGTTGAGCAATTCAGTCCTCTTACTGACTTGGATCCTTTTAATTACTTAGATTTACAGACAAGACCGCTGTTTGTATGAGGATATCAGCATGATTATCTGCTGAAGTAACACTGACAATAAATGTGAAATGCTCTTATGATTATGGACTGCTCCTCTAAATATAACTGTTCACAGCGTAAATAGTGTTTTGAAAATAGTAGTGTTGTAGTATTGGAGTATGCCTATCATGTGCCTTGAACATTAACAAAATAATTCCTTTTTTATTTTATTTCTCCAATTCACTCAGCCCTCAAACTTGTTTTGATATTTACTAAATTTACCACTATCAAAAGGCTTGTGTATAAAAAGTGACAAGCACCCTTTAAGCAGCTGTTTCTCCTCAACAAGACCAGAATTTAATTTCAATTGCTAATATAAATCTCAGCAGGACCAAAACTGTGCCAAACAGTGGAGGTGAGAGAAACATTGCCAGGGTTCTGCCTTCCTCACTGTTCACCATCCGGCTTCATCAGACCCTCAGCGGGTCCTTTAAAGAGCGCAGAGAGCCATTCACTCATCTAAACATGGCTAAAATTCATCAACAGACTGACACTTCCTCCTGGGTGTCTTTCAGTGGATGGAGCTCTTCTGTTAATACAGACACATCTTTTTCATCATAAAGACATATCATTGCCACATCTTTTTATAACAAGGTCATATCATGGCAACATCTCAATAGGTTTAAGTACTTATAATGCCAGAGATGCCACTCTAGATTTAGCTTCACAATGCCTGCATCCACAGGTGTTATGCCCTCAGGACTTATGTCTTTAAAGCATATATATTTTCAATAGAAAGGAAGTCCTAACTCAATCCAAATAAAAAAAATTGTGAAGCTGAATTACTGATAGAAGCAGAGGCTTGTGAGATGAATGGAATATAACAATGGTCTATCGGAACAAACTACAACCACCACCACTACCAGCTATACCTTTGACATAAAGATGGATCCATGTATTCTTACAAATTTGGACCCTGTATTATCAGCATATCATGACATAAATTAAAAATGATTGAACTAGAGTAGGTGGTGACAATTTTGCAGATTGCGGTCATCTAGTTTTAGTGATCCCATTTTCGATTTAACCTTATGTTTCAGATTTTAGCTGAAGAGTAGATCCTTGTATGGTCTTCTACAATTATAGCCCATCTATTTCAAGTTTTTTATTGTGTTCAGATATGCTATTCAGTACAATGCTGTTACCAAGCTGATGAACTGCTGTTAGCTTAAATGAGTTTGGCCATTCTCTCTGACAAGCAGTTATATCACACTCAAAGTATCTTACTACAGATCATCTTGCCATTTTAATATTTAATGTAATAATAATTCTGATGACCTCATTTGCATGCTTTATTTATACAACGCTGCATCCTGCAGAGCATACAAGGAACACCCAGGTAATTTCTTAATAGTCTCAAGACTTTAGTGCAGAGTAAATGTGGTCTTTTATATGAAACATGCATGTTGATTAAGTGCCACAGCAGCGGTTCTTGACTCTTGAGTGTGGAAATGCCTCTCATCACCTCCTACAAAAATTTACATATCGCCATACTAATAAGGCCATGCTGATGGCATAACTCTTTGTTTGTCTTTTACACAGGAGGGTACATTTAGGCATTTATCTGCTGCACCCTATACTATGTTGATAAAATCATAAAAAACATATCTTACACAGACTGTGTAATCCGAATTACATACTCAGCTCAGTGCCATTTTGAGGGTAAATATGTAACAAATGGAGGACACCTCGAGGATAAAAGTGATAAAACAGACATTACGTGTTGCACAGAGCTTGATAACACTTGTGTTCACCACGAGACTTCTTATCAGGTGTTCAGTTTGAATGCTTTGACACTTTGGCTGCTTTTTCAGAGGACAGTTCATCCAGAAATAGATTTCAGACGCCTGGACTGCATGCATCCTCGCAAGCTGTACTTGAGTTATTGTGTTGGCCCCGACTTTTGGCTACTACTGTTGATCTGTATGTGGTGTGACATTTTCTGTCTCTTTTTTATAAGAAAGTGTTATGGATTAATTGACTGTCCATTTATAAAAAAGTTCCCAGTGTGTGGCTATTAATATATACCGTTTTATCTAATTTGTATTTTTAGTAGATGGCAACCAGAATTATTACTTTTTGTAACTTCCTTTTCAATCTAATTTGTATAATTTACTATATCACTTCAAACCCAAGAGTGATTATTGAAATTGATTATTAACAGTACTTAATTATTGATTACAGTAATGACAAAACATTGTCTCTCTCTGTTTCTCTCTCTCTCTCTCTCTCTCTCTCTTTCCCCCCAACTGGTCAAGGCAG